CTTTTAAGAGTTATCATCTTCAAGGTAGATTATCACCTTCAAGTTAAATGCTAGCTTTACCTCTTCTTTCGACTTATTTGGAACTTTAAAAGAAAAGTTTTTCATGCTCTTTTGTTATTTTTCTTTCTTCATCAATCTCAATTCAATGACATTAGAATATCAAGACAATCAAGGAATAATTGTTCAAAATCATTCAAATTTCCTAAAAAATTTTGACTATCAAATCTCATCCATATTCATTAGATAATGAATTCAAATTTTCAACTCACATGATAGTTGAACCAATAAGCATTTAATCAACTTCAAGTAATTGCATTAATTTATCCAAAATTCATTTTTGTATTCATTCATCCTAGCTGATCACGCACAAATAAAGCATATAAGATTATACACAATCATACATGTACAATAAATGCATGCATTTATGTTCACAAATAGAACCCCCTATTGATAATCCTTAAATCTTGCATTGTTGATGTCTTTATAAATATTAGAAATTTTGTATAACCATTACACTTAGAACCATCACATAAAACGCTTTTATTCCCTTTAGCATGGTTTGATGATATTCTTTGGTTGTATTCATTAGAGTATGTTGTACTTATAGCATTTTTCCTCATTTGAATTCTTTTGGGGACTTTTTTTAATCATTGACAGATTTTTCCTTTTTAACCCATATTATTTGCGTCTATTCACAGTTTTTTGTTAGCACAGTATTGAAAGGATAAATGTCCAATTGCTTTTATAATAATTATATGATGAAATTGCATGCATTTAGTCTTGATGAAATTCTTCTTATCACCATCGGCCTTTTTGGATTCATTTTTACTTTTACAACAAGTTTTTCTTTCTTTTGTACTTATAAATTCAATCTTTTCTTTCTTATAAGATAACTTGTTCAATACAAGTTTAAATCACTCATTCTTTTCTTAATATTTAAATGCTCATGTTTTAAAGATTCATAAACCTTCACGTTTCATCTTAACTTCTCATTTTGTTTCTTTAATTCCTTGTTTGAATCTAGAACTGCTTTGTGAGACTTTTTTAACTTATCAGTAGTCAGTTTTACCTTCTCATTTTCTTCTTTAATTTGTGTCTTCTCAAATGTACATTTATATAATTGAGATTTTAAAAGTTTAATCAATTCATTAGCTCTTTTTAACTTTTCATACAAATTTCTAACATTTTTGAAAATTACATCATCAATATTTTTCTCTTCACAAGATTTTGATGTTGAACATTCTTCCCTTTTTTCACTAAACTTAGGAATTTTATTCTCATGGATATGTTCTAATTTTCTCCAAATTTCTTGAGTACTTTTATAATGTTTTACTCTTTTTAGTTCAGCTTCATACAAAGCTTTGTAATTAATATCCATAACTTGTATCATTCTCTAGTTTTTCCAACATTCTTTTATTTCTAGTTTTGTACCAACATTCTTTTATCATTTTCATTCAAATATTTCCTAACCTTTTCTCTAGTTTTTCCTTTTTTTGTGATTAAAGATTTATAAGAACCATCCATAATAACATACCACAATTCAAAATCAATAGATTTAATAAAAGTTTCTATCCTGTTCTTTCATATATCATAATTTCTACCATTAAACACCGGTAGTTCATTTATAGATGTTCCAAATAACAAGTTGGTTATCATGATCTACTCCTAAGCTAATTTAACTTAATCTTTAAGAGACCAAAATTTGATATCAATTGTAAGACTCAAAACAATCTAAGAAGGGGGGTGAATTAAGATGTCACAAATCAAGCAAATAATTACAAATATTCACCCAATTTTAACTATCCAAAAAATAGCCTAAACATACAAAATAACAATAAAGATGAAGCAATTTAACTACACAATAGAATAAAGGAAACTTGAACAATAAAATAAAAGAAATGCAAACCAATCACACTCCCAAACTCCTTCCAAACTTGGAACTGAATCCACTTGTAGTTTCTTCAATTGATGGTAAAGCAAACTATCTTGTACATAAAAAGGTTCACTCTTTACTCACCATAAACACTCATTAGTTGAACCAAAGATTTTTAGAACTTCTCTCAAGTCAACGCTCACTATGCTACAATTGAAAGCTCTCAAGTTAACTCTCACTATACTATAATTGGAAGCTTATCAACCATCTAAGAACTATCCTTTTCTTCACAACATCTAAGATTTATTCCAATGTTAGTGAAGCAAACCAACTTATACAAAGAAGGGCTCACCATTTGCTCACACTAAATTTCCCTACTCTAGTTGAGTCAAGGAATTTTACAACTCACCCTAGTTAACCCTCTTTAAGTTACAATCGAATGCTTCCATGCACATAATGAAGAATACTCTTTACTTTTGACTTTTCAACCTCACAACTAATTACAACTATATAAAGTAGAGCATTTTTTCACAAAATCATTTTTAGAAACTTGTAACTAATGTTGGCAAAAGTCTCTGTAATATTCAAAATTTGATACTATTTATAAATAATGAAATTTTGTCCCGAAAGTCTCTCCAATGGTCAAATAACTATCTATTAGAAAACTAATTGTTGGAACTATTGGACGTCCGATCTAAATGTTGTACGTCCGAACCATCATCTGATCCTACTTGGGAATCTTTTTGCTAAAATATTCAGATGTCCAATAGAAATGTTCGTATGTTTGATGGAGTGTCCAATAGCACATCACCAGATAGTTTAGCCAACTTGTTGGACATCCGATAGGCATGTTGTGCATTTAACCCATCACCCGATCATCAAAGATGGGATTTTCTTAATTCTTCGAACATTTGATCCTTTTAACTAGTGTCTAAAGCTACGTCTGATACTAAGCAGCAATCTTTATTCCTTCTTATTTTTCATCCTTTCTTTTCCCAAATGTTTGAACATCTATTCTAACAAAATTCTCACTAAAAACATTAGTTCAAATCATTATTTTGGCTTGTTAATCATGAAAACCAAGAATTGATCAATCTAGATAGATTGCTATCTGGTAGATTGCTAAATTGATTATTCTCACATTCTACCAAGTGGACATCCTATGTTTTTACCATGTGTACATAATGCCTTAATTTATTTGATTATGTTGAAATTATTTTATTTTTGCTAACAACAATTTATCCTAAACTTTTCACATTTTAGATGTAGTATTTTTATTAACAACAATCAATCACCCACTTTGTTATCCTTAATTTACATTTTTCCTGTATTTAATTTTGGTCATATTCTAGAGTACTTACTAAGTTTGTTAATGACAATCAATCATCAATTTGTTAGCCTTAATATTCGCTCATATATAAACTAGGAAAGTTGTATATGTTTACCTATATTCACAATCAATCACCTTTTCCCCTCTAAACATTTCTATTATGGACTTGTTGAATAATTAGACCATATAAATTACTTCACCCGTATCCAAGGCAAGTCCCCAATTCACTCCTGAAGAAACCAAGGAATCTGGAGCCACTTTGGATGTTCAAGCATGGGAGGTTCATAAAATTCCATACTTATATGATGATAGTAATAATTTTGTTTTTACACTTTACCTTTTCAATTTATGAAAAATGATATAAAACCTTTTCTCTTTCTTTTTTTCAATCTCTACTTTATTTTCCTTTCATGGGATAATAATGAAATGTTATTGAATAGGTTATGATATTTCTTCCCTTCTGACCAAAAATATTGCCTCAGAAAATGCATGAGCCTAACAAACTATATTGGTTTCTAAATTAATTTTAGATTGAATTTTTGTTGCAATTTGCTTACTGTTAATTTGATTAATAACTTTAACTTAAAAAAAATTACCTTTGTATTGACTATTCACAATATTTTGTTTAGTGCTCTTACCTAACTCTCATTTTGTTTAGTATATTTTGTATTCTTTTCAAAATTTGGCTCATTTTAAGTTTTACATATAGTATATTCTTTTTCCATTATCAAACTATAAATGCTTAATAAAAAATAGTTTATCTACTTAAATAAATATTTGGATTTTCAAAATTTATGTTGCAATATTTAGTTCCACAGCTAAATGCAAAAATGACACATGCAAACGCACCTAAAAGAAACTAGTTTAAAAATAAAATTAATGAGAAGTATGCTAATTTTAAAGAGTAATGTCTGCTTATAGGAGTATATAATAACAAAATGGAACTATAGAAAATCTTAATAAAAATGAAAATTTGAGGTTGTAATTTTGGTATGTCCATATATATTGAATTTTTGAATAACATCATATTAGATATTATCTTATAGTAATGACACATGATTTTGAAAAGCAAACCATTTGAATTGAGAGATTAAAATATTATTGATATGGCCTTTCTTTTTTTTTTTTTTTTTTTTTTTTTTCAAAGCAACAAGCATGATCCTGCATCTCTAAATTAATTGCCATTCCTGTCAGACTTCAGATCAACACAAACATCTGGGAATTCACTACCAGTTTTCTTACCATACTTGAGCATACCAGGAGGTTGATACCCCCGATAAATAGACTACTCATTACAACTGGGAAGAAAGGGCTCAAGTAATAAGGAGCTAATCTACCTCATTTTCTTTAAGGAACAAACCTCAATCTTTTTGCGTGAGAAGCAAAAAGAAGTCAAAACAACTGAGATATTGTAGGCAGAAGGCATCAAATCCCTTTGTTGAAATGAAAGAATGGCTATTCAGACACCTTAACCATGTTGAGCCCAACGCAAAATTTTGATTTCAAAAGACAGCCCAATCTCTAGTCATGCCAAGTGCAAGTGAAAAAACGCTCAGATTTCTATATCTTCATCATTTGTTCTCATTTGGTCACAATGTCTTGGAGATGTCTACTGAGCTTGAAATCAGAGCATGTCAATCTTGCTATCAATTGAGTACTGAGAAATCTACATTTTCGATCTTCCCAAGGCTTTCCAAGTATCGAAGGTTGACTTGCTGTCATGAAGGAACCTGGTAGTATTGCTCTGGACATTTAGAAGCATGCCCTCCCTTTTGCATTAACTCCAGCACCACAACTTCAAGAAAGAGTCACGTGCATTTCAGCTCCTGTGCTAGCAAATATTTCATCCACCCTGCTTCTCTCTACGTTGACCTCAGCAATCAAAGTAGTTAAATAAATCTGTAAAACATTCCGGTCTTGTTGATGCCTAGGTTGAAAAGATTCAACTTCGCCTTTCCCAAGGCTTGGAAGAATTGGCTTGCTAGCTCCATGTGAATACAAGGAACATGTATGCAGATCATCAAATTCTCCTGGATAAAGTTCATCTGACCAACACAAGCTACTAAGATCTGCAATTCTTTCATCACCCAAGGAAAGCAGCTCCATGACAAGCAACCTCTTCAAGTTTAGCTCTGTTACAAATATCTGAACAAGGTCCTGTGCTACTTTTTCAAAAAGAGAGATTGGCCAAAATGTGAAGACTGGGGCTCCCCCACCATCACCAGTATCATTCTCATTTTCAGAAGAGAGAGAAAACTGAGCCAAGGGGCTATTGGTTGTTCCTTTCAGATAGCACCTCATAGATCTAGATGTGTTCACCATCTGAGTTACAACGCCTACCATATCTTTGTATGATGCCAAGAGTTTATTATGCTGAATCTCTTGTTGCTTAAACAACTTCGAAGAGGCTTTTTTCCGAATACTTAGCATGCCACTCAAAATTCCCAAATCCATCGCATCCATATACTTTTGGGAGAGAAAGGAGTTGACAAGAGTAGTGGCTTGAGAGCGAGTAGCGGACGAGCAAGACTGCCAATCTTGCCATAAAGAAGCCGACTTCGACCATTGGTTTCTAAGGTTTCGCTGCGCTGCTGGCCTCCATAGCCTAATATTTACTACTGCAGAAAAAGGAGACGAAGAAGAAGATTTTGGGGTCTGAAATTGAATGCTGAGTTCTTCTTTTGTGGTTTGTTCATTTGAAGCAGAAGAAAGAGGAGGGGTCTGGGATTCCATTGGCGTACAAATAGTATTTTGGCTCCAAATAGGAAATGCAGCCTTTAAGAACCAACCAAACCAGTTCTCAGCGAAATTGAAATGTAGGAATTTGCATGTGTGTGGTTTATTACAGGTCACAAACAGACAATCTTGCGTTCCACATTAGATCTTCAACCTCCAATTTGGTGCCTCAACTGGGCCTCATGAGGGCAATTCAGGTGAAGAACTAGCAGTTGGTGATGGTGGTGGTGGCGGTGGAAAGTTCCGGCGACGACGGAGCCTCCTCCTCGACCCTTTTCTTTCTCTGTTTTTGAACACCCTCCAATGTTTTAATCTACAACTAAATACCACTCTCCCCTCATAGCTCCACCCTCTGCAACTCGTCTCTCAGCTTCTGTAAGTGCACCATTGACCGACGGCCTCCTCGATCAGAACTCAGTAAGCCATCATGCATTCATGCAAATTTCACAGTAGAATTCCTATCAAGGCACAATTTTTTTCTTCTTTTAAGAGTCAAGAATGCCTAAATTCGAGGCAGCATCCCCACGCACAACCAAATCACTTTCAGTACAGAAATTAATCATAATCGCGGCAGTGATTTCTGTCACCAACTAAATATACGCTTATAAATTCTTGTTAAATGCATCAAGAAAGAATGTGGGGCTGTATTAAAAGCAGATGGACGAAGCAGGCCAGAGGGATGTTGAGAATCTGGGTATTTTTGGGGATTATCTGATACAACTACTGAAAAAATAATAAGAGAAACAAAGGACTGACTTTATTTCTTTATAAATTTGATAAGATATGGCCTTTCTTATGTGTACTTTTGAAAAAATAAAAGATAAGATATTATAATAAAAGAAAAATAGAAGACATACATGTCAAATAAAATGTTAAATTTGGCTATGCAAGTTAAAAGATATTAGCAAGCGTGTAGTTGTTTCTGGCCCTCTCTAAGAAATTATAAATGAATTCTGAAATTATTACAATAAAAATCTCGAGGCATAAAGTGATTGAGGGAGTTAAGAAGCATGCCTTATACTATGGTGAAGCCGGTTTCTTTGGAGAATGGCATGTTTTGATAGAAAAGCATGGAGAATAAAAAAATTTGTTTTTGTTTTTTTAATGTTTTGCCCCCAAAGATCACATATGGTGTGAACATCATGACAGCTGGAGAAGTTACCTAAATTTAGTGTTCAAATTATTTTAAATATTTATAATTTCCTTAATTTGCTGTATTAACCAATTCCACATATATTTCCTTGGAATTTTAGGATTAGATGGTCATATTTATTCTAAAGATAGATAAAAGAATAAAGGGGGAGATTTCTATAATATGGTTCATAAAAATTTAATTTTTACTATAATTTTGGTAAAATTAACCAATCTTGGACATGGTCATTTGTATCCTTGTAAGGTTAATAAAAAATAAAATTTAGATTGTAATAAATCATAGCCAATTAACATTTCTTTCCTATTTGTCATTTTTCATGTTTCAAAGGGACTAAACTTATAAAAGAACAAAAGGCATTAATGATATTTTTATCAATTAAAATAAAAAATAAAACTATCATACTTTAGAAAATGGTAAATTTTGCTTGGGTATCAAATTTTAGAAAATGGTAAACTTTGCTTGGAAAAGCAAAAAGATAGAAAAGTTTTGGGTTTGTTATGGTATTATTTTCCTAATATCATTTGTGGTGCTCAAATCATGATAACTAGGAAAGTTTCCTTAATTTATTTTTAAAATTAATTAATTAATTGTCCTTTCCTTCATTTGATATTAACATCATTGAATCAGTCATAGTTATTTTTTAGTAAAATTAAGAAATTCCAAAAAAAATTCCTTTGTTTGGTGTTTGATAGAACGCTAATTTAGCATTAATTTTATTATAATTTCCTTTTCTTATTAGATTGGATATTGCATTAATGGACATATTTTGTTTGAATTTTATGTTTTAGGGATGTTTAGCCAATTGGAGAAGGAAAGTGCAGAAATTGCAGTTTTTAGAAGATTTTCCTCCAAGTAGGTGTGGATGCGTGAGAAGACATCAATCAAGTCCGGAGTGCGCGGGATTCTATGCAGGGCAGTAGCCTAATCCAAGCGGGAGTCGTCATCATAGCTGGAAGATGATATTATCTACCAAGTTTCTAATTAGCAATTGGGTTGGTTTAGGAGATTTTTAAGCATTTGAGTACCTATTTTTTAGGAAGTTAGTTTTCCTATACTAGGAGATTTTTTTGGAGCCAATTACTACTGATTGTGAGGGAGGAAGTTCGATGTGTTTTAGAAAGCTAGAAAATAGGAAAAGCAAAACCCCGATCCCGTATGATTACTACTTGGCCAGGGAATAAGAAAAGGAGACGACGGCAGCCGCTCCGCTCTCTGCTCCGCTGAGTAGTTCTTCTATTGTCAAACATTGACGCAATTTCCTTCAAGGGACTTGCGTGGAGAGTAACTAATCTTGTTTTTTATTCAAGGGACAACTGAAGATTTGGTTCAATAATAACTGTGAGATCTAAATTATTTTAACTGTTTCATTCATTTATTGGTATTTATATATTTTCTACTTTTAATTGTTATAGCTATCGTGTATGATTGAATAGTGCGCAATATTTAATTATTCACGTAGTCTATTTTGCAAATTAGGGGTAGTTGAATCCGTAATTGTTCGATTACCTCCGTCCTGCTAGCAACTGGCGAAATTGGCTTTATGTCAGGAAAACATACGATCTAATTTAAACAAACCCTCATAGTGTGTTTGTTAGTTAGGATTGGGCTTTTCTAAATCTTAATGCAAACCAGAAATTAAATCTTACGGTCGTACTTAGGGTTGTTTCCGGATTAGAGAAATAGTTAACGGTCGTACCTTAACTATTGAGAAATTAAGGAGAGACTAGTTGTTTATCGCGTGTATGACAACTATAACCAATCTATCGATAACTGTTGGAATTATATTTGCATCAATGATCAGTGTATGAACCATTTTTGAAGTGTATCCTTGGCTAGAGTTCCCTCTATTATTTCTTCCAATTAATTATTTTTCGCATTTAATTTATTTAGTTAGCATTTAATCTTGAAACCCCCCATTTGTCTTGATTCGAAAGGAAACAAATTTCTCCCCAGTCCCTACGGAGATAACCCTGCTTGTCACTGTCTACTAGCTAGTAAATTTTGTCAACTAATTAATTCGGGTATATCGGATTAAGCAAACTCTTCGGGAACAGGGTGAATCAAGTAACCCATTGCACACCTAGAGTCCCTGTTTCGGTACCTAAAATTGATTATTGACTGCTTTTGGTGGTAGTTAGGTTTTATTATTATTATTGCACAGGTTCAGCACCTGTCAATTTTTGGCGCCGTTACCGGGGACTGGTGTTTGATTAATTTGTTTCTTTTTTGAGTTCATCTTGTTTTCATTTTTTTTCTCTTATTTTTTTATATATAGTTAATGGCTGCTAATATTCCGTATTTTAGTTATAGAATGGATTTTATTTCTAGAAGGGGTTATGAGACTCATGCTTTTTCTAATGATCAATTGGCTGTTGCAAATTGTGAAAGTTATTTTGCATCAGATCATTCAACCGACATATACCCTGCATTTCAAAATGGCTTAAGTGCTCCAATCGATATTTTTGGAGATTTTTCATCTCAATATAAAACGTGGTATGACCCTTATTCCAACGGGTATGATCAAGGATAGTGAGATGATTCCAATTTTAATTATGTGACTGGGCCAATGGATTTTCAACAACAAGAGTCTCAAGAATCATCATCCATATTAGGTATGTCTCTTAAAGAAATAATTGAATCACTAGCTACTAACACATATCTATTTCATCAGGAAACACAAGCGAGCATGCGTAATCTGGTTGATCAAGTGAATCAATTGACATCTAGGATAATGCAATTGATTTCTCGAATATGTGAAGAATTGCCCTCACAGACTATTATCAACCATGAGAAAGATGAGAGTGCAATTATCCTGACAAATAACATGGTACTGCGAGAATCTCAAGAAGAAGGATCTAAAGATGCAGTTGAAAAGAAAGTTGAAGTGCAAGAAATGAGACCCCAACATCAAATGTTCAAGTAAATGAATCCAGCGAACAATCTCCAAATGCGGTGACATCTCCTCCATTCCTTAATCAATATTTTCCTAACTCTTATTCTTTAATTCCTGTTAGTGAAATTGATTTTATTATACCAGAAGATTTTGAGTTTCACGACAGGAATAAGTTAAGAGCTACGATGACAAAATATCTCGAACCAGTAAGTGTTCATGATGGAGGAGTGAGTGAAGAATTAAGATTCTTGTTCACTTGTTTGGAGTCATCTACTAATCCATGGATGACCATACCTCGTGTGCTCAAAGATTACTCTATTTACGAGAGTTATCAGGGATACATAGAAGATGAAGGACTGAAACGAGTTACACGATTTTATCATCCGTGAATAAACATAGCGATGTCTAGCCAAAAATATTAAAGAAAGGCGCTGCTTGGGAGGCAACCCAAGGCTCTTTATTTTAGTTTTCTTATATTTTTGGAGTTTTTGTTAAGTGTTAGTTGAGTTTAGTGATTTGTTGTTTTTGTGGCAGGAAACTAGTAGTTGGGCGTGTCCGTGTCTAGTGGTCATGCTTAAGGAAGAAATTTTTGATTTGACAGACAGAAGACTACCCATTAGTTAGGCGTGCCCACGCTAGATGGTCATGCCTAAGGAAGGCAATTTTCGTCTGCGATCAGAAGACTTTATAGTAGTTAGGCATGCCCGGGCCAAGTAGTCACGCCTAAGGTTAATTTCCAAAAATTGGTCAGAAAACTCTCTAGTAGTTAGGCGTGCCCACGCCAGGTGGTCATGCTTAAGGATCTTAATTTCGGATGGTTGGTCAGAAAACTCGAAAAGTAGTTACGTATACCCACGCCTAACATAGAGGTTCCTTTATTGAAAAAAAAAACCCATGGTTGTTCTTTTTTCTTTCTTCTTCTTTCTTTCTTTCCCCTTTCCCCCCTTTCCC